TGCAGCATGAGATCAATCAATCCCCCGCCTGGAGGTGATCCATATGGTGCTCCAGACCTCGCCTGACCTGCCCACCTCGCCTGACCTGCCCACTGCTCCCCTCAGCAGTGTATTTCAGTCATTTAGCTTGTTCTGCTCCCCACTCTGTCTCTGGTGAATTCTCTCACTCCCCACCCCTAACACCTCTGGCCTGTACCCCAGTTCTATATGTATAAATAAATAAATCTTTTAAAAAATGCTTCTGTTTTGTAGCTTTGTTTCTAATTTTTCCACTATAAATACTTAATTAGTATATATAAATATTTGGATATTTTGAATTATTTTTCTAGTATAATTTACCACAAATGTTACTCCTGGTTAGGAGCATACCTGCATCTAAATTTTGGTTCTACCACCCATAGACAGTCACCTAAGACAATTTATCTTTCTGTAATTTGGTTTTATGATGTATAAAAGTGGGAGAATAGTGTCTTCATAAAATGTCAGGATTAAAAAAGCATTAATAGAGAGAAAATACTAAGATAATGCCTCCCAAATAAATACTATCCAAATATTAGCTACCACAATCTGCATAGAAACCACAGCATGAGATGTAATAGAATGGATGATTCCTGCTCCACAGGAATGTTTTATATAGTTTAAAAGACATGAAAACCATATCCAAAATCCTAGAGGACCACATGCAGCAGCAAGCTGTCATAATGCAGGATATGCATGATCACCAAAGATTTGGACTTCAAAGAAGGAAAAATTACAGAAGGATAGAGGAAGGAGTCACAGGAAAGATTAAATTTGAGCAGTGGATGATTTCATTTATATGTGAAACATAAAGAAACAAAACAAAGGGGAAGACAACACCCAACCAAACAAATCCTGGAAATCTGACTGTAGAATCGAGGCCACCAGGAAGGGAGGGGGAAGGGAAAGCGAAGGGGAAGAGGGAAGAGGGGCCCAATGGACTGTGTGGAGGAGATGGATACTTTGGTGATAACATACATCTGAAGAGGGGTGAACGATACTCCTAAATCATACCAGTGTGTCAATCAATGTTACCTTAATTTAAAAAAATATATGAAAAAATTAAATTGAATAACCTTTGAAAAACGCATTGCGAAGACATGAGGAAAAGTCTAGGCACAGAGAAAAGTTTAACTAAAACCTCAGGAAGAGAAAACTTATGGTCTGATCTCCAGGGGAGAAAATAATAATAATAATGAACAGTTATATACCAGAGACATTTCACAGGAGTGGAGTAGGGAATGGGATCAAAACTGAGCGGGGGTGGGGGAGGGAGTGCACTGGACTATGGTGATGGCACACGGGTGATTTGGTGATGGGAAGCCCACGGGAATTACAACTGAGATGGAAAAAAACACAAAATGATGGAAAAATAAGCTATTATATTATTTTTTAAAAATGTTCCCCCCCCCCGTTACATTTTTTAAAATAAATAAATGTCATCATTTCCATTCTTAATGTTAAATAAAAAAAATTATGGGCTGTTCTGGGGAGAGTGAGTAAACAAGTCTGGATGGAGTAGAAATTTGGAAAGAACAATATGTGAAAACAAAGCCAAAATCAAAGTCTGTGTTTTGTCGCATGGATTCCACATACTCCTAGGCAATCAAAGCATTCTTCCTCATTTTAACCATTTGTTAGAGTAGCCCTGGACAACTAGGAAGCCCCACCATTCAACATGAACCAATTTTTAGCTTGTTTCTCATTTCAACAAAATTATAATCGCTCATAGTGAGCGAATATTTTTACAATCCAGAAAACAAGCTGAATACTTTATATTAATTATTATATTTTCTAAAATTACAATAGTGCTGTCATTTGGTGGGTAATATTTCACAGATGAAAGTACTGTACATGTGGCAAGTTGAGTGACTCACCTGGGCTGAGGATCAAGGTCACAGGAGGGTTTTGAGTAGCTGTGTGCTCATTGTACTAACAGCTTCCATAGATCTTCTTTCTCTAGAGTTTTCTTTATCACTTTTCTATTGCCTCCTATATCTCAACTCTTCTGTCTTTCTGAGATTCTTTTATTTTTGCTATATTATTCACAGCTTTAGTCTTTCCATTGGTAACTGGTTGTTCTATATACAGGGACAGTTTTGATCAACGACGTAGCTTATATCTGTTGCAGTAACTTTCTTAACTATCAGAAACTCATTCATATACTCATACTAATTTCCAGTTTGGTGTTTTTTTTTTTTTTTGATTTATTTATTTGTGCATACAGAACTGGAGTACAGGCCTGAGGTGTAGGGGCAGTAAGAGGATTAACCAGAGACAGAGTGGAGCACAGAACAGGCAGATCAACAAAGTACACTGCTGAGGGGAGCAGCGGGTGGTCAGGAGAGGTCTGCCACGCCATGTGGGTCACCTCCGGGGCAGACCGGGATCAAACACATGCTGAAATGGCTTTAGCTTTAATGCTGTGCTTTAACCCACTGCACCACCAGGGAGAGCCCAATTTCCAGGTTTTTTTAATTGAAACACTTTTTCATAGATTATATTAGGTTTATTCCTGATAATTTTCTCAGTAACATAAGCCAAGAATAAAGAACTATTTACTCTGGGCCCTCCCCTGGGTTAAAGCGCAGCACACTATAAAGCAGGTGGGCCATGTCAGCACAAGTTGGATCCCTTACCAGGGAGACGACATATATGACGCAGCAGACCTCTCCTGTCTCACCCACTGCTCCCCTCAGCAGTGTACTCATCAATTTGCATGTTCTGCTCCCCATTCTGTCTCGGGTGTGTCCTCTCACCCACCCCACCTCTGGCCTGTACCCCAGTTCTGTATGCATAAATAAGTCTTTAAAAAAAAAAAAAAGAACTACTTACTCTATGCAAAATGAGGCCAATTTAAATGATTATACCAGCCATCCTTGTTACTATATTATTGCACATAGTAGCACATAAAGTGGAAAATAAAATTGGAAAGGTGAGTTAAAATGTTAGTTTGACTTTCTAGTTACAGAGGATGACGTTGTACATCATAACCTGTTATCCTTAAAAAAAAAACTTTGAGCAGGGCTGTGATACATTGAAACCAACCTTTTTGGAAGATATGTTTGGTATTGGTATATAGGAAATGAAGGGGAAATAATCTGGAAGATGATAATCCAGAGTGAGTGTAAAAATGTTTTTTTAAAAAAGTAAAAGCAATACAATTTAGGATATATTAGATCTGGATTGTGAGCAAAGCAGAATATATTAATTCTATCAAAATATTATTACTAGCATGTTAAAATCATTCTCATAAACCATAAAAGATGTACTATACATACCCCATTGCCCAGTTTAGCAGTCAACTAAAAAGTTTAATTCCATGGACTCAGCATTAACTTCCATACAGAGGAAATCCCTTCACCAGCTCCTTCTACCTTCCTGTAGATCTTATTTGCTTAAATGTCTCTTCCTATGTGTCTCTCTCTCTCTCTCTCTCTCTCTCTTTCTATCTCTCTCTCTCTCTCTCTCTAACCTACGTACACAGTATCTTTGTGGTACCACGTTTTACATAGTATCTCTCACAAAAAAATGACAATCAGTAGACACGGGGAGCACACACCATGTGCTGTGCTGCATATTTATCATCTCATTAGATTAAAAACACTAAAACCTGTGGTAGCAAATGATTACCCTTTTATTACATAAGAACAAGCTGGGACTCAAAGAGATGTTGGAGTTGATTAATTATCACAGCAGTAATATTATAAAGAGAAAACAGATGGTAGGGGCCATTTCCTCTACATCTTGGTGTTTACAAAACATTCATATTCCTTATTTCTTCACATCTTAAAAATAATTCTGAGACTTTCTTTGAAACATAGTTTTTCAAGGAAAGCTTCCAGAATAAAATTATTTGAAGGGTTAGGACTTCACTTAGGTATGGAGACATCCTTCTCCCAAAATTCTAACTTCCTAAATGTTTCCTATAATTGACCAGATCCTTACTTCCCTAAAGGGTGTACTGACTCATCTCTTCTTAAAACATGAATCTTAATTGCTTATTCCTGTGTCCTCTGAAATCACACCTTTGGAAAAAGGAAGAAGAGCAGAGAAATAACAAAAGTAGCAGCTCAATCTACATCCAAAACATTCTTATCTGTCCTTAAAGAAAAATCCAGCCATGTTGATGTTAGCCTTTTAAGCAACACAGAGAAAGATAACTTTCTAACCTTGTTCGATGCTAAAATTTTAAAAATAGGTCTATCTAAAGGGTGAACTGAGAATTGTGCCCATTAATTTGATTGGTTGGTGGAGAATGTTCTGATTTATTCTTCCCTCAAGGAATTGGAAACAAAGTTTTACTTGAAATGATTATTTCAGAGGACTGAAATGTCTTACCAAAGTGTGACTTTAGTATACCATTCAGAAGAACAAATTATAGCATGTTCATTATTTATCTAATAATTTCATTGTCTCTATCAAGCCCAGAAAGTTATTTTAGTGTTTCCCTCTAGATTTTATGTATGTTAGGAGAAGGGAGGGAATTACTTTTACCACAACAAACATATGGGTGAAAATCTTGGGAAAGCTGGCATGCAGTCAGTAGTTTTATGTGCAGATAAAAACCTGCAGAAAATAGATAATGGCTTATTTTGCACCTATTTTACATATATTTCCCCCAGCTCACCAAAATGATTGTCTTCAGAATTTTTGTTCATTATTCCTTCACTGCTTTCCTATAATTGAGACCTCTGAATAAATACAGGGGCTGAGTTACAATTTAAAATAATGAGACTGCCAGGCCAATGTCCTTGCATGCAATAAAAGGGTGTGGGTTAATTGCAGGAGCAGATTTTTTTTTCCTCCTCATTTTCCCTTACTTTGATTGGTGGACTAGCACTTTAAATAAGGGTTTCAGCTCTTCCCTGAAATGAGAGGTACAGAGGGAATCCCAGGCACAGTCCAGAAAAAAAATTTAATCTTCTTTTCTTAGAACTATCTTGGTTGGTTGGCATCACCAGGCCCCGAGAGCTCAGTACATGCCAGCATTGAAGGTAAAATGTGATTTTATAATTTCCATGTGATTCATGTAAGTTCTTTTTCCTATCTCCAGGCAACTTTTATAGGTGATATATCTTCATTTGTCACCAGAAATTAAATAACTTATTAGAGAGCATTAGCATTTTCTACAAAAGAAATGCCTAATACCTTCCAGCTCAAGGTGGAGGGGAGGTGGGGGGGACATTGATCTATAGACCTTCTTTTTAGCCATTTGTGATTATTAATAACTGTGCCTAATATAGAAAAGTGTTAAAAGACAAATCTTTAGACTAATCAGATTTATGTGCAGAGGTCTACACAGAATCTTTTGGACTTTTAGAATAAATTTTAAAAGATAGTTCACATTTGAAAGAAAAAAACCTCAATTTTAAGACATTTTCCACTAAAATCAAAGGAATTAAATATGTGTTTCATTCTTATTAGAAAAAGATAAATTTTGACTTGGTTACCTGGAGAATCTAAACATAGAAGGATATACCTTACATATCTGCAAATAAAGGTTTATTATGAAGTGATTTTAATTGATTACATTTCCAGTGCATTTCAAAATTTGCTCTGAAACCAAGGGCAGTATTCTCCCAAGAATGGTGCTTAAAGAGCAAATTTTCACATAGTGGAAGGGATTTTTTAAATTGTTTTGTGAACTATACACACCATTTAAAGATGATCAGTTTCATAATGTAATGTAATTTAAAGACATTAAGTAATTCCTATATATTCAGTCAGGTTGTAGCCCATTAAAAAAAAATACTTAGGTACTGTTTTAATTTGATTTTCAATTCATTCCAAACACTAGTAAACATAAATCAGTTATTTGGCAACATTTAGTTGTTTAGTTATTGCTTTGAAACTGTTCGGAAGTGCAGTTTTTCATTTGAAATATTTTCTTTTAACCATCAAAATAAAGTCATCTTAAATCTCCAACTCCACTTTGTTTCAGATTTCACTTTTCAAAATGAAGGACCTGATGCTGATTCTGTGTCTCCTAGAACTGAGTTCTGCAGTACCGGTAAGTCAGTCTTCTAGAATGTTCCTGGAGCTCTGCAGACACAACACTGAAGGACATTAGCTTACAGGAACTCATTTGATTTAGCCACTGGTATGGCTCCTACTATGAGCTAAAAGTTATAGTTGACCAGACCTCATCCTACTATCAAAACTTATTATTTTTCTGTTTAAAAAGATATTTAAAATATTCTTAAGACAATGTCCACGTCTTGCTGCATTCACTTAAAATTAAAGGATTTATGTCTTCTCCACAAGAGTATTGCACATTGTTTTATCAACTACTTGCTACCATTATGACATTTAATTGGAAAGTGGAAGATTCTCCAAAAAAGTAAAGTACATTTTCTTCATCATTTTTACAACAGTATTAGCCAAATTGCTATGGTTACAAACAAGGCTAAAATTAGTAATTCAATTTGAAGCTAGTAATTAAAGAGTGAATTTACCTTATAAGGTATATATAAATATATGTGTGACTGAGTTTCTTAAATCAAAAATGCTATGGCAGTGAGGCTAGAGGTATATTCCAGGCTCTACCATATCATAAATTGAAATGATCCCATACAAAAGCAATCTGGTGAGCCCTGAACTATTCCATTCATTGCACATATATGTATTGCACATGGTTTTGCCATATGCTTTGACCCCACATCATGTTCCCCAACCAGAAGCATGGAGGCTTGCCAAACTTTTAATTTCTATATACTTATGCTTTATATCATCATATAATACAAATTGAACTCAAGTTTGCCCTCTAGGCCTTCCTACATGAAAATTTAAAAGAATATATTCTTTACTTTCTATTTTATTGCCTTACTTTTCTCTCAAACTAAACCAAATTTTGCTCCTAAAGAAACAAAATATTTAAAAAGCAGACCAAGGGTAGATGATTTCATGTAGGAACAAAATTATTAAATATTATGTTAATTTCCCCAATAAATTATTCTTCATTTTACTCCAAAGCTCAAATCCCATATATTTGTTAGAGACGAAGTACGTAAATGGGAATGCAAAGAATCAATGAAGCAATGTCCCCATATTTACATGTGTATTTCAGTTGAAACTACTTAGTTTACTCTTTTGTACTGGTTGGCTTTTTATTCCAGTTTGCAAGAAAGTGTATCAGTAGAGAGAATGCAAAGTTATTTTTGTTTCCATTTAGATGTTTCCTCAGCAACCTGGGACACCAGGCATGGCTAGTTTGAGTCTTGAGGTATGTATTATCAGAATATTTACATCCAGTCTTTACAATGGTGTAGTTCTGGAATAAGAAAAATATAAAGAACTCTTTCTGGTTTTGTTACCATAAGTCAGTGACACTATGACTCTGCAATCCTACAGAAGCTTATATTTACTGTAGCCTTACCTTAAAATTTTACTGTCACTTCAAACTGTCAGGGGTTTATTAATTTGTGGGCATTTTTGTGTGGGAAGGAGATAAGAAAGGTTTTGATTTGTTTGTCTTTTTTTTTTTTTTTCCAAATTGCTCTTCAAGCTGAATTTTAAGAGGCAAAGTAGGTAAATGGGAGGTGAAAAGAATCAATGTCCCCATATTTACATATGTATTTCAGGTGAATCACCTACTTTTCCATATGTGACCTTAATTAAATTCTACTTTTTCTCTCTTTTAATTAATGATAAAAGCCAAGTTCACTATTTTACTAGAATTAACAATAATGGTAGAACCCCAAGTAATATTTCAACTTTTCAGTGATAATTTATGACTATGTTTATTTTATTCAGATTGACCCACCCCTAAGCTTTGTACAAATAACACCATATGTTAAGAACATATCTTAAGAATCAGCTGTGTTACACAAGAAATATTTGTGGTGAACATTAACTCACATTTTTTTCTTGACAGACAATGAGACAGTTGGGAAGTTTGCAGGGATTAAACATGCTTTCTCAGGTAAATTTATTTACAATTGTTTCTTTTTGTAGGTAGTAACTATAGTGGTGGTAGTAATACCAAGAAGATTCATAAGATTTGTTTGAACACACTATCAAAAACTGGAAGAACAAATGAGTAATTGAGAAAACCTAAAACACAATGAGATTCTGGGGTGGAATAACAAGCAATATTGAAATTTCTTTAGTTAAAAAAAACCCTTTTGCAGTCCTCTCTGGTGGTGCAGCCAGTTAAAGCACAGCACTAACAAACTAAAGCCACATCAGCATGAGTTTGATCCCCACCCCAGAGGTGACCCATATGACGCAGCAGACCTCTTCAGACCCAAGCACTGCTCCCCTCAGCAGTGTCCTTCATAGATCTGCCTGTTCTGCTCCCTCCTATGTCTCTGGTGAATCTTCTCACTGCCCCTGCACCTCTGGCCTGTACCCCAGTTCTATATGCATAAATAAATAAATATTTTTAAAAATCCCTTTTGCTAGTAAACTTAATGTATATATATGTATATACAGCCTAAAATAGACATTAAAGGCTAAATCTCAAATAAATCTATGAGAATATTGAAGTCCAAATCAGATGAAATAGACATCTGTTAAAAGGGTGTTTACTATTCATAATAATTTAACCAATATCACTCTTACTTTTTAACTTATGTTTTATGGACCTTTTGAAAACCAAGTCTGAGCCAATACTGAAAACTAGTGTGCTTTGCTGGGATTTTTTCTCCTTTATTGACAGTACTCAAGATTTGGTTTCGGAAAGTCCTTTAATTCCTTGTGGATGCACGGCCTCCTCCCACCACATTCTTCTTTCCCATGGATGAGACCTAGGGAGCATGAAACTCAACAGGTAAGTCATATACTTCAATGTGCTTTAAATCTCAAACTTAGGGCCTCCCTGGTGGTATAGGGGTTAAATCTTAGAGCCCATTACTGGGCCTGGATTCAATCCCTGGCCAGGGAGGTGACCCACATGGCGCAACAGACCTCTTCTGACCCACCCGCTGCGCCCTTCAGCAGTGTACACCTTCATCTAATCTGCCTGTTCTGCTCCCCACTCTGTCTGGTGAGTCCTCTCACCTCTAGCACCTCAGGCCTACACTCCAGTTCTTGTATGCATAAATAAATATTTACCAGAAAAATAAACAAACAAATTTCAAGCTTGGAAATCTTTCCTACTTGCCTTCTCTACATTGCCATAGACTGGCCATAGGTAGCTGATTGTGATTAACAAAAAAACTATCCAGATACCAATAGAGCCAAAATCCCTAATTATTTTTAACAAAAAATAAGTTAGTCCCGATTTTCAACTGATTGTATATTTATTTCAGACAAGAAATGTGACCTTCGAAAAGATATGAGACCTATGTTAGTGATAGTAATAATAACAATCCACAAACTATCCTCAAAATGGAAGCAGGCTACATCCTGAGCAGGCTATATCCTGAGCAATTCTCATCTTCATCAAAATTGCCTAAGTAGTTTTTCAAAACCACATTTAAAATAATGCCAAACACACTGGCTAAAATATCACAAATTTATAGACGTCAATGGCTATATAAATCTCTAATCCACTATGTGTTTGGAGCCTAGTAAGCCAAATTGTAGGTTGAGAGTGAAAATGAAAACATTTGCGCATGGCTCTGAGGCTCACTTCTGACTGAGAGACAAGACAGCACCGTGTACATATGGAGACACGTGGTGAATCCCAGGAGAGCCAGAGGTGTTCAGGGCTGAAGAGCTGAAGCAGAGTGGACTGTTGTGAGATTTCATGCCACTCTGAGGAGTCTGCAACCAATCATGGCATGGTTGTTTTAACGGAATTTTTTTTTTAATTTATTTACTTATGCATACCGAACTGGGATACAAGCCAGAGTTGCAGGGATGGTGAGAGGATTCACCGGAGACAGAGTGGGGAGCAGTACAGTCAGATTGATCAAGTAGTCTGTTGAGGGGAGCAGTGGGCGGGTCAGGAGAGGTCTGCCACGCCATGTGGGTCACCTCCGGGGTCCAGGATCCAACTTTCAGTGAAGCAGCTGCAGCTAGCTTGCAGCTCTGCGTCCTAACCCGTTGTGCCACCAGGGAGGGCCCTATTTTGACATTTTAATTTCACATGGCCTTCCAAAAACAAGTAGGATCACTCATCAAGTCACATTTAGTGGAAGAGTAAATTTTATGAATTATGATCATTTGTCCATTTGAGTCCTTCCAAAAATGTCTCCCTGATGCAGGAGTTTGATTTTTTTCCCCATCCTCCTTTCATTAACTCGAGCAAATGTTTTACGGAGCTATCATGTGTCAGGCACCTATTCCGAGCAATATTAAATCCTTAAAGTTATAAAGATTACACATATAAATGAGACATTTTACTGTCTCTCAGTTAACTGGGGGATAAATATAACAAAAACTTGCAATCCAGTGAGAAAGTGGTAAAATAGAGATCTATGTAGGCAACTACTATGGGAACCCAAAAGAAACTAGGCTTCAGTCAGGAAGGTCCACGCAAAGTCCCATCTTCACCAGCAGAGGTCGTTCCAGAGGAAATGGGGAAGTCAGACACACACAAAACCTCTTTCATCAACATTGGCTCTATGTAATCCGTGCTTCCTTTATAAGCACAGCTTCAGCACAAGTCCTCTCGACGCCCTTCCAACTAGAAAGTTGCCCGAGTCTCCTGTTGCTTTAGAAATTCTAGATGCCACAGTTCAGTGAGTCATCCCTTCCTGACACTCCTTTCAAATTTCTCTGCAGTATGAATATTCTTTGCCTGTGCACCCCCCACCTCTCCCATCGCAGACATCCCTGCAGCCTCAACAGCCAGGACAGAAGCCTTTCCTCCTGCCCACAGTTGCAACTGCCATCCAGAACACCGTGCAGAAGGGAGGACCTCAGCCTCCAGTGTACCAAGGACATCCACCCTTGCAGCAAGCAGAGGAACCAATGATTCAACAGCAGGTGGCACCATCTGATGTGCCACCAAAGGCCAAGGTAATTCTCTGAAGGCAGACCAGGATAATTTGCAGAAAGAAAATCGATTTGCAGAGTACATTTAAGTAACCCAAGTTTTTAGGCGTAATACATGAAGATACCAATACATTTCTAAGCAGTGGACACATCTAGGGATAGGACATAAACATCTATTCCTGTCTTTTGCCATCAGAAACAGTTCATGAATTCTAAAAGATTCTGTGCGTGTAAAACTGGTTTCTTACTTGTAAAAATTGAAAGCCTTCAGAGGCAATAGTCAGAAAAATCTAGATATCCTATCATCAGGTTCCTTTCAGTTTTATAAGGCCTAACAGGGATGATTGATTAGTATTTTGCATTATTATTTCTCTCATAGTAGAGAAGACAACCATGCAAAAATACAAAGTATAATAAGCAGAAAAAGAAGGTACCATGTAACTAGCATATTGTAGGCATTTAACATTCCCCCATACTGTCCTGATGACAGTCCAGAAGGACAGGCTCCACTCTTCAGTATCCTTTTTAAAATGGAGAATTCAAATTTTTATGAGATTAGGAAGTTTTCCATTATTGCACAAACATTCAACAGCCGAACCAGGCCTCCAATCAACAAAGTATTCTCTGACTCCAAAATACTTGACTTTCTACTCTGCAAAACATAGTTAATCCACAATAAATATACTTCATCTCCCTGTGTATTATTTCAGTTTTACTACCAAAGGAAAAAAAAAAGTATTCTCTTGAGAATACAGATTATCTGTAATCTCTTGAGTTGTAAACCCATAAAACAGATGAAAGTGAAATAAACCCAACTTAGATTGCTTTATAATAATCATAAATAAGAACATGTTCAATTCACTTGTCTATGTTGACTGTTTTATATGTGTCTCTGATGCAGCTACCAGAAGTGGACTTTCCTGAGCTACAGGCGCCATCTGTAAGTATGGATCTCAGTGAGACACTTTCTTGGGGGAAATACCTATACTGCCAGAAGAAAAAAAGAGTCACTATTTTAAATTGTCCGATTTACCCATGAATATAAAGTATTTTGCGTTCCTTTATTTAAAAAAAAATCTTTTTTTATACTAATCCATCTTAAAGTGTGTTTCTTATAACTCTTTTACAGTAGTAAGGGAGATATGTATGTTTGAGCAGATATGAATTACTTGTTCTGTTTTCTATCACTTAAAGTTGTTCCCAATAGCCCGTCTGATAGCTCAGGGACCAGTGCCACAAAATAAACCATCGTCGGTAAGTTTTTTTAATGCCACTTCTTTGTAATTTACCGAAGAGTTTTTCCCCTGGAAATGCAGTTTGTGGTACTTATTGTATTTGTATTTACATTTAGCTTTATCCGGGAATGTTTTTCATGTCTTATGGAGCAAATCAATTGGTAAGTCTCTCTTATATGAAATACCATTTTATTGTGTTTGTTATGTTAAAATTCAAAATCACAAAATCCAGGTCTCACAAAATAGATTCTATAGTGTTTGAATGCCCAAGTTAACTGAAATTATAAGGAACATACTTCCTATTAAGTCTCTACCTGAATTACCCAAGATGACCACATTTATTCAATAGTAACTCACCTTTCCACTTTACTCCATCTCTCCACACAGCATTAAGACTGTGACTTCAAAAACAATGACTTTTAACTTTGCCCTGAGTAGTTCATAATATGATACAGTGTTTGTTTTTGAACAGAATGCTCCTGTCAGACTTGGCATCATGAGCTCAGAAGAAATGGCGGTGAGTAATATCTTCAGATTCCTCTTTGCCTTACTGGCAAAGAGAATTGTCAGAGGCATTGGTCATAAAATAGCTAAATATAAAGGATGACACTCAGATTGATCCACTCCAAAACCAGTAGCTTCATTATGAAGTAGTATGTGAAGATTCTACCACCTTCTTTACATAGTCATTTTTGAGTGATAACCATTTTTGAACAGAGGATTTTGCCTCATTTCTTAAATATTTCTTAAACAGAGGAGAAACCACTCTTGAAAAGTCATCATCCATTCAGCAGCAAGTCACTTATACCTCAAAACTGAGAAAGAGAAAAAAAAACTGAGTTTAAAATGTGATTAGTAATTTTAGACTATAAAAGTACAGTTAGTACAAGGGTCTCAAAGATGTATCTTTCTGATACACTCTGGTTAAAAGTATACTGTCTACTTTTTACTTTTTTTCTTCAAATAATCTTTCCAATGTTAACTGTTGCAACGTATTCCTTCCAGAGGCTGATATGTCCACAACATTTAGGTTAGAGAATTTGAAAAAAAAAATTACAATTTATTTTCTCCCTTTTTAGTTTTTACAAATTTTCTTCATGTTTTACAGCATGTTTCTTATGACCCTGATCTTTTACCTGTATATGAGTAAATGGTGTTTTAAGTAGCAATAAATTAATTAATCTTAAGATGTAGTTATTATAAAATTTAAAGTACAATAATAAGCTAGTTCAAGTAGTTTCTTATTCTGTTACAAGTCTAGAACTTGAACTCAGTCAACTCACAATTTGACCTTTCTCCTCAGAAATTTCTGTTACATGTGTTAAAGCATAACACAAACCCATCCCCCAACATTAGCAAATCATTATCTAGATTTGCTAGAAATCTTATCAAGTTAGTAATACACATCAGTTCTCTCACTGGAAGAAAACGTGCTTCTCACCATTGTTGAATGCCCATTGCTGTGGGGGCAAAGTGAATCAGAAAGGTTGCTGTTCTCAAGAATTTAACAGCCCCATTGTTAGAAAAGATAGGTGCAAGAACAGAGAGCATCAAATCATGTTTGTGTAAGAGAACTCAGAGAGAGAAAGGGCATGTGGTTAACTCAGCCTGGGGCTCAGAGTGCCTTCCTTGGAGGAGATGAAGTAAAAAGCTAGGGCTCCAGAGTTGAGACCAGGAGAAGGTAAGAGAAGTCTTGTCTATATGAAACCCACACTACTGGCTGAAATTCAAAGGCTAATAATCATCTTATAGCTCTAATTAATTTATGTATATTCTGCTTCATCCTCATGAAGAGCACAATAAATATAATCAAAAAAAAAAAATGAAGACCTTTTGAAATGAGGCAAAATGGTGAGGAAATGAGAACACAAATATTAAGTCACAAAACCCTGCATAATTGCTGTTAACAGCCCATGATTTGGGTTCCAAAGTTTGTGTCAGCAAAAGTGAAAAAGGAAACATGGTCCATTCTAGAGTTCTAAATGTCCACAGAAAATAGTTTAGAAAATATTTCGGTTCCTCCAGAAAAATCAAGATGTTATTTCTTACATGTATCTTAGGAGAGAAGGAACAAAAGGAGGGAGGGGAAAAAGGAGGGGGAAGATCCTCCAAAATACCCCTGTTTCTGTTTTAGAAAGGTGGGGCCCTTTCAGCTGCGTATTGTTTTCTTAAAATTAAAGTCAAATTGCCTTGTTGCCTGTAGTCTTGGTTCTGCCCTTCTGTCACGCTTCTCTCCTTCCTACCTTTTAGTCAGGGGTGGCAGCGGGTCTCCAGCTAACCCTTTTGCAAAAGTGGGCCTCCCCCCAGCCAAGAAAGTGCAGAATCTGCCCCCTTATGTTTCAAAACCACAAAATGTGGTTACAAAAAGCTATCAGCCTGTGTTCCCTATCGGTATGGTGCCCAGTAGATCTGACCAGGTATAACTGCATGGTATAGCTGATAATGATAATCTGTGATAACGGTGCCGTTGGCAAATGTGTTTTTCAAGGGAGGAAGAGGAGGTCCCATGGCATATGGATCCATGTTCCCAGGATTTGGAGGCATGAGACCCAGCCTTGGGGGGATGCCCCACAACCCAGCCATGGGTGGAGACTTTACTCTGGAATTTGACACCCCGGTTGCTGCAACAAAAGGCCCTGAGAAGGGAGAAGGAGGTGCACAAGGCTCCCCCATGCCTGAGGCCAACCCTGTCAATCCGGAAAACCCAGCTCTGCTTTCCGAGGTGGCACTTGGTGCCCTCGGAGGGCTCCTTGCTTCCCCTAAAGGCAGTGTTCCCAGCCTGGTTAAAGGCCCTGCTGGGCAGAGTTGGGGAACACCCAAGGTCACCCCAGCAGCTGCTGATCCACTGATGACCCCTGGACTTGCTGATGCTTATGAGACCTACGGTGCTGACATGACTACGCCACTGGGTCTCCAGGAAGAATCAACCACAGATGCCACTGTGTCCCCAGACACGCAGCAAACATCACTGCCAGTAAACAAGGCCCAGGAGCCCCAGATTACGCATGATGCCTGGCATTTCCAGGAGCCCTGAGAGCTTTGAGATGTCAGCCACTTTCTGTATGTCAGCTACTTTCTGTAGCTCCCCTGCTTTGTCCCATAGTGTATCTTTTTGCTATTTTGCTTCTGCACAAAAGCAGTAAAAGCACTAAGCATAGATTCATAAATATAAGTGGTTAGGAATAGTATAGGTCCTCTTCTTGCCTGCCTCCTCTTAATGAAATAAAGTGTGTCACCTGTCTCTGTGATTTAGGAATACTATTACAATCACCAGAGCTGGTCTAAGGATCTCTGCATTTGAAAATCACTGTTTCTTAGCCATCGTTAAGCATTATAGAATTTCTCTTACTGACATGACACTGTTATATCCAGGAAATGTGATGCTGATTTGGAAATTTTTCTCGAAGCAAAGCACAGATTCTCAGAAATATAAGCTATTTCACTGAAACATTATCAACAGGAATTGGTGGACAATCCCTGACTCATTTGTAGAGCATTTTATTTAATCAAGTAAAACAACATCTAGCCTATTTTAAATAAAGAGTTTCCTACTGAAAATATCAGGAATTCTATGCTTATTATTTATATCTATTTAAATGATTAAGAAAGGCATACCCATCCCATCTCTGCTCACTCCTTCAATGCACTCACTCCTTCATGAAAAATTTACCAAGTATCTACTGATGGACCAGACGCTATGCTAGGTGCCATGAGCTGGACAACCACAATAATAACTAAAATGGCCACTGTAGGCCAAGCTCAAGTACTTTAGAAGTATTATCTAACATTATCTCACAACATTGCAAAATAGAGACTCCTAAACCCACAACACATGTAAAAAGTGCTATGAACAAGCCAAGCACAGGATGGTCCCAGAGTCAGAAAAGAGGCACCTGATGGCCCTTAAGAGACACTGGAGCAGGCCCTCCCTGGTGGCGCATCGGGTTAAAGCACTGCACTGAGAAGCTAAAGCCACTTCCGCATGAGTTCGATTCCCGCCTGCCCCGGAGGTGACCACATGGCGAGGCAGACCTCTCCTGACCCATCCGCTGCTCCCCTCGGCAGTGTACTTCATAGATCTGCCTGTTCTGTTCCCCTCTCTGTCTCTGGTGAAGCCTCTTGCCGCCCCTGAGCCTCTGGCCTGTACCCAGTTCTGTATGTACAAATAAATAAATCTTAAAAAAATGGGAGAGAAAGAGAGAGACACTGGAGCAGCTGGGGGCAGGGAACTCAGGGAACTCACTTTTTCTCAAAACTGTACGGAAAACATCTGCAGAATGAGGATGCCAAGAAAAAGAAACACAAGAGTCCCGCGGGAATCATGTGTGAATTAGCTCATTCTTGGGAAATGTCAACAGGAAAAGAGGACCCAGAGAATGACCCTTTCTTGTCACCAAAGCTAGGTACATTATCAGTCAGGGCAATTCTCCTAAATTAACAAGTTCCAGGGTCACCGACCGAAGTAGCCTCCTACTCCATTCGCCCAACACTTCCTAAATTTTCCCAGGTACTATACTACACAGAGTTCACTCTCCTCAGTCCTCTAGGAGATTCCCTGGCTCCAGCCTAGGGAACAGGCCCAGAGACAGCGCCCTGCCTGGGATACTTGAAGAGCCTTAGCAGAGCATGCAGCGGCCACCTGTCTCCTCTCCTTCCAGTGGAGTTCTGCTCACCTCTACTTTATAGGATAGCGTGAAAGGAAAAATTCAAGAAGTAAAAATTCCACTGTATCCCCTCGTGGCTCTGGCCATGTGCGAAGGAGAAGATATTTTTCTCTTACTTTGTTGATTATTTTTGTAACAACAGTTGATTTCTCTGCTTGTGTATAGTTGCCATAAATTCCCCATCACCATAGTTCCCATAAACCATTACCATAGTCCCTTGTGTCCCTCCCTCCCTTCCCCTGCTGTAAGCCTCCAGTCTATAGTTCACCTGCAAGTTGCATAGCAAGGTAGAAGATTAACCTCACAGTAGCTGGCAGATGCCAACTAAGACCCACCATGGCATTCCAGGCTCCTAAAAAGCAGTATGCGAGGAGACATGCAGACAGACAGATCTGGGTTCAAGCCTTATGTTTAGCCTCATCTACTCATTATGAGTGTCTGGAAGTGACTCTTAACTCCTCTGCACCTGTGTTTTCATTTCTATAATACAGATACAGCCTAACATACTTCACAGGTTGTTGTGAGAATGAACTAAGATGAAGAACACAAATAAAACTGCTAAATCATACCAGTTTCTTTCATTTCAAAGAGAACCTAGCAACGTCGCAATGGCAACAACTGAATAATGGAATTGTCTCTATTAGCTGATGAATCTGTGCTTTTCCATTCACCTCCCACACATTGCCCGTATGAGCCCTCTTGTAATTTAGAGCATGCATTTGTGTGATCATAGCATATTTCACTGATGATTGCTGTCCTATCAAGGGCTCTTGGTTGGCCTCTGCTACTGGCAGGCAAGGCGCTTAATCATATTAAGAGTTAGAGCAACTGTTGGTGGCGCAGCCGGTTAAAGCACAGCACTAAGAAGCTTAAGTCACTTTCACATGAGTTTGATTCCTGCCTGCCCCGGAGGTGACCACATGGTGTGGCAGACCTCTCCTGACCCGCCCGCTGCTCCCCTCAGCAGTGTACTTCGTTGAGCTGCTGTTCTGATCCCCACTCTGTCTCTGGTGAATCCTCTCACCCTTCGCATCTCTGGCCTATACCCCAGCTCTATATGAATAAATAAATAAGTCTAAAAAAAAAAAAGAGAGCAACTTTGACAATGGGGGGATACCCTGTTCTTGATTCCCTGAATAACCTCTCTCCCTACTGCCATAACCACTTCAAACCATGATCCATTAAGCAAACCCCAAGACCAGGGAAAGAAGCTAAATATCACTTACAGGAGTGATTATAGGTCCTGATAATTTCCTCTACTGAGCATTCTTTCCACTAGGCAGGAATATTTGTTACAAGAGAAACAAATATTTTTAAATTCTAGCCCATTTTGAGAAGTCTATCCAAATAAATTAAAGACCTCTTTTCACTAATCTTCCAGTGTTATTCTTTCCAAATCCCCACAAGCTGACCAATCTGGTACTGACCCTGAGTTCATCTAGAGCTGTATCTCAGACCATCTCTCCTTCCATACAAATAGGCAATGAAACGGATGTACCATTTAAAGTTTTACAGTTATAAGACCTCCCATGAAGCCAAAAGTCTGGATTGAAGCAAAAGTACCAAAGTTATTAAGAGGAGAAGTCTGACCCACTTGTTCTATCTATTTGAACTTTGAGAGCTGCTGAAGTCTGCTGTCATATGTAGTCAACCCTTGTACAAATGGGTTTGACTATACAGGCCAACTTATATATGATTTTTTTTCAATAAATACATTGCAGTACTGGAAATGTATTTTCTTATATGATTTTTTAACATTTTCTTTTCCCTAGTTTACTTTATTGTAAGAAAACAGTATAAAATATAGATGACAGACAAAAGATGTATTAATCAACTGTTTACATTATCATTAAGACTTCATGCCTACAGCAAGCTATTAGTAGTTAACTTTTGGTGAAGTCATATGTCCTAAGCAGTTTTTCATCTGACACTCCTAGGCCCTGTATTTTTCAAGGGTTGCCTGCATATCATTTTCACTTACAAAGAAATGTTCCTCTCTATTTTCATTTTGGGGTTCAATGACTTCTATATGACCTAGTTCAAAATGGACTATTCAAATATCATGATCAGGCATATAACCTCTCTCATGGGGCTAAAGAACAACTTTTTACAGAGAAGATTTTAAGATTACATTAAGATTTTAAGGCCCTGGGAATGCAAACTAGTACAACCACTATGGAAAGCTGTTTGGAGTTTCCTCAAACTGCTAAACATGTAGCTTCCCTACGACCCTACAGTCCTACTCCTAGGTCTCTACCAAAAAGACACAAAAACACTGATTCAAAAAGATACCTGCATCCCTATGTTTATTGCTGCTTTATTCACAATTGGAAAGACATGGAAACAGCCCAAATGCCCAAAAGTGGATGACTGGATTAAAAAGATGTGGTACATATACACAATGGAATATTACTCAGCAACCAAGAAAAATAAACATATGTCTTTTGCAGCAACATAGAGAAATAAGTCAGAAAGAAAAGGAAAAATACTGGATGGTTTCTCTCACAGCAGGGATATAACGGAACAGGCGAGAAAATAATGATAATGATAAACAGCTAGAGACCAGAGACATTTTGTGGGGGTGGAGTGGGAAATGGTTTCAAAAACAGTGGGGGGAGGGAAATGCACTGGACTATGGTGATGGCACATGGGTGACTTGGTGATGGGAAACCCAAGGGGATTGCAACTGAGATGGAAAAATGCACAAAAATATGTAAAAATAAACTACTATAAAAATTTTTTTAAAAAAAGATATTAAGGCCCTGTGCTGTTCTGCTTGCCAGAGGTACAAAGTCACTATAGATTCTTCAGTACTTTGGGGCTAGATTCTTCAGTACTTTGGGGCTATTGTGTCATAACACCCGAAAGACTGAGAAGCACATGCTATAACTTTGACCCCTTTTCCAGTTACACAGACTGCAGTACATATTGTCTTCAAAACACGAAGAAGTACAAATAGCATTGTGTTTTCTCTTCCTGTCAAGTGGTGTAAGTTGCAGCAGCTTATCTTTAACTTCCCTGACATAACCCAGACTACTAGGCTACTAGAAAAGTCAGCAACTCCGAGCACTTTTGTAGTAGTGTTTATCTTTAATCCTCTGGGTTATTACTTCATGCTAATCAAAACCCGTTGCACCATTTTTAGTATAATGGACTAACTAACAAGATGTCTGGTGGGCTAGTCCATTATACTACAAGGACCCCAAGGACTATATTATGTCAGATCAACAGAGAGGTGACACAGTGCTGAGATCATGTTTTATCAGCCCCACCTTTCAAAAATTAACCGCTTCTGTGGTTTTTACTAGTCAGACCAGAAAGAAAGCATCTGCCAGATCATTAACTACAGACTAGGTGTGAGAAGCTATGC